GGAGGTTTCAGCGAGCCCCGAGTGCTAGGAACTTCTGAGGGTAGTCTGGGGGGGACCAAGACTCTTCCATGACCCCTACTCTGCACAGACTGCGTTGCAGGATGGGCGTTCCCCCCTTGTATGCATGCCCCGCCTGGCGCCTCTCCAGAAACTGACTGATCGGAAGGGAGAGGAATAGGATGAAGTCTGAAAGGAGGGGGTCGGAGGAGAGGGAAGCATCCCTTCAGACATGGGAGGCGAGCGCGCGGGCATCCGCAAGCTGCAGATCCGACAGCTGCAGCTCGGCCAGCGCGGCCACCGCGTCCTGCACGTAGACCCGTGCAGACCGCGCGCTTGCCCACCTCCCTCTCAGCAGGGTCAGCTCGAGGCTGCCATGCTCCAAGAAGTCATGCGCGGCGCCTCCGCGCCGAAACGAATACAAGGTCACCCTCTCGTCGGTGAGGCCCAGCGCGACCACCACGCGCCTGAAGAGCCGCATGAACTCACCCCTCTCAATGTTCAGGATGAGCTCGTCTGGCGGTAGCTGTTGCACATGCTGCACCAGCAGCTTCACCGCGACCCTGGAGCGGATCATGACGAGCTCAAGCCTGCCGTCTCGCTGCCCCGTCTTAGTGTTGCGGAGCGCCACGATTGCTGACATCCGCCGCTGAGAAATGCGAATGTCCTTCCGCCTCAGTTGAAGCATCTCACCACTGCGCAGCATCCCTGCGTAGCCGACGGCGAGCAAGGCGCCCGCCCGCGGCAAGCCCCACCAGCAGAAGGCCCCTGCAAAGGCGAGGGCGAGCAGCGGCGGCATCGGCATGGCACGGGCGTTGGGCTCCAACTTAAGCCAAGTCTTTTGGAGCTTCCAACTCTGCTTCAACTTGCCCGACAGCGACGGGCTGACGAATAGCACCGCTGCGAGCGCATTGTTCACTGCAAGTAGTGAGCCGCCCGTGCGCCATACGTGCTCGGTGTACAGGGCAACGCCTTGGTCAACATTTCGAACGCTCTTTGGGCGCAGCTGCTGCTCGTTGACAAAAATCTCGCAAGTGTTGTCGCGCCAGATCATAGCGCTGCCTGGTGACTGCAGCAACTCGCCCATCCTGAAGCGGCCTGCTACGCCTGAGCCGCTTGGCGTCCACGGCCCGCTTGAGCCGCGCTGCCGCGGCCTGCGCGCCGACGCCCCCTGCAGCCCCTGTCAAACCAGCGCGACGGCACATCCGCTGGGTTGTCGTCCGTGTCGACGCACGCGTACAGCGGGTAGCTGCCACAAGCGAGGAGGCACGACGCGCGTGCCCGCATCCAGCCCCACAGCCCCCTGGCGCTGGACCGCCCCTTGGCGAGCACGCTGGCCGCCACCTGCGAGTCGAAGAGGTGGAGGTAGCGGGTCCCGAATCGAGCTGTCGTTCGGGCACGCCACTTGACCGCATTCTTCACAGCTGCGCCCACCTCCAGCTCGTTGATGTGCGCCTCCTGCCTCCACGGGAAGCCGTGCCCAATGGGCCACGTCCACAGGTTGGACTGCAGCCCGGAGCGCGGCCAGGCCTTGGCACGAAAGGGGGCCTGCAGGTCCAGTCTGACGTCTGCGCCTCCTCTGCTGGCGATCCGCAGGTACTTGAACACCAGCCGCCTCTCGAGGTCAGGATCGCTAACCTCGGCGCCCCAAAACTCGGGCTCCTGGCCCCACGATGGCGGCGCCGCCCCCGTGCGTAGCAGCGGCGCGATGTCGGGGGCCGCACGGCCAGCCTCTCGAGCCAAGAGCTGCGCAAACAAGTATGACACGACCTGCACGGAGAACGAGTTCCCGATGAGCGACGACCTGATGATTTCCGCCTCAACACCAGGCAAAGAGTCCTTCACAGCAGCGCGTGTGTACCCTCGATCAAAGCCCATCAGCGTCTCACGCTCATCAGCAGTGGGGATACGCCACTTGTCCATGGCCGCGTCCCAGAGAAGGTTCTGATCCTCAAAATTGTACACCTGCGTCACATAGCTGGAGGCTGTCCATCGTTCGATCGCGATGTCGCTGGCCGTCTTGATCCCTGCGTCCGGGGCTGGGGGAGAGTTCCTCTTGCACAGTTTAGCGAAGGTCGGCAGCGCGTGACTAGGATCAAGCAGGCCCCAGCCGTCTTCAGCAAAGACTGGGACGGCCTCAGCAGCGACATGGAGCTTCACCTTGTGGTAGAACTCAGCCTCTTGGATCTCAATCACATCGTCGCGGGCTTGCAACTGCCAGGAGAGCCAATACAGGCGCGGCCTACGCACCACCGCCACATCCATGGCCTCGATGCGGTACGGCTTGACGCCAAGCACCTCGGAGACCATCGCAATGTCGTCCTGCGGCATGCTCGCCACGTTCTCGACGAACCACTTGGTGCGCTGCTTGCCGAAGACCCGCTCGATGGTTCTGAAGGCCTCGGGCAGCTCGAAGAACAGCTTGCTCTTCGCACCAGTGATCCCCTTGCCAGCTGCATTGAGCCCGCTCACGTCAATACACGGTGAGCCGCCTCCTGCAATCGCATAGCTCGCAGCCTCAGCTGCAGAGCGGGCGACCTTCCCCAACGATTCTGGGGCGAGTTTGGTGATGTCCCCCAGCTCGATCACCCCTGGCCATCGCTGCCTGACGCACCTCTTGGCCCCCTTGTCTATCTCCGAGGAAGCGTACATGACGACCCTGCAGCGGCACCGCGACAAGGCCACCATCGCCCCGCCGATCCCACCAAAGAAATCGAAGAGCGCCACTGTCGGCAAGGGCACCCCTCGAGGCAGCAGCTCCGGCGGCACCGCCGATGACATAGCGCCCCGTGGCAGGAAGGCGAGCCCCTCCTCACCAGGGTCAGCGCCCGCCACCTCCGCCCCATGCTTGGTGAGGCCCGTCGAGTAGCACAGCCCGCCGCCCTCCTCGCTGGCGTCGGTGGCGAGGACGACGGGGTCGAAGGTCGCGCGGATGCTGGTGAACGCCATCGGCAGCAAGCACAGGGCGGCCAGCAGCTCGGTGCGCGCCCCCTCGGGCAGGCGAACAACCTGCTGCAGGGCGCTTCCCCCCTGCTCTGAGGCGGCCCTCAGCTCGGGGATGATTCATACCTCGTTGAGCGTCGCGAAGAGCGGCCTGCGAAACTCGAACGCTCGGGCAAGCCGCCCAAGCACCATGAGGCAGGCCTTGGCGGTCACCTTCTCCTTGCCAGCAAGCAGCCACATGATCATCTGCCCGTCGCTCATCAGGTTGTCAATCGTGACCCCCACGCGGCCGGCGCCCCCGTCCACGAAGGCGCCCATCCTGAAGAGGCGACGCTGCCGACACACCGCCTTCTTGTCCGACCAGGGGACGCGGGCAGAGGAGTACGCCCTCCGCTGGCGCTCCTGAAAGTCGCTGATGGTCCCCTCGATGAGGGTGGCGACGCTCTCGGGCACGATCTCGGGGGAATCGAAATCGTCGAGGTAGTACTGCACCCACGCCTGGGCCTTGGCTTGAGGCACAAGCGGCAGCGGGCGGTCACGCCGCCACTCTACCTTTTCCTCAAACCCCGCGCTGTGAGGCCCATCACCGATGCCTAGCCGCCGATGCAGGTGCTGGAACAAGCTCACAGCAGACAGCCAGCCCATCGGGATCACCGCGACCGCCATCTTGACCCACTTGAGCTGCGGCCGCCCCACCAGCGACCCAGGCACCGGTTTGCGCAACGCCATGTACCCCCGCCAGGCCTTCGGTAGAGCGTACAGATGATACGCCCCCGACTGGTCGTCTGACGACCACAACAAGGCCTGGCCATCAGGCACGACGATGGACGCCCACGTCGAGCTGGGGGTCAGCGTGTCCAGGTCGGTCTCAGCAATCCGCTGGTAGGCATTCTGCGGCACCATGTTGATGATGAGCCTGGTGACCCTCGTGAAGGGCGGCGCTGGGGCCCCCGACTTCGCAACTGCAAAGGCCCCCGCGAGGACCTGCTTCCCCCCGACCTGGAAGACCCCCCGGTCCTCGACAGGCTCGACGATGCCAGCGTCCACCAAGTGCTTGCACAGGGCGTACCACTCGTCGTCGCTTGCCACTTGCACGCTGGCCTTCGGAACCTCCTCTGGCCATCCATCCTGAGGCTTGAGGAGCAGCGCGGGGTCCAACAACCACTCCTGCACATGCGGAGCCGCGAGATCCATGGCCTGCACGGAACCTGCCAATCCCGGCTTGGGCAGCCCTGGTAGAAGCTCGCCCATCACCAGTGGCCCCCCGCGCTCAGCCTCCTGTCCGCTGTAGCCGATCCCTTTCAACTTGATCAGCTTGTCGATGTCCAGGTCGCTCAGCGGCTCCAGCGCGTCCTTCGCGAAGTAGGCGGCCGCGCAGCTGATGTTGGCAAGCGCCACCTGCTGCGCCTGAGATGCGATCTGAGGCCAGGCCCGAGGCTCGCCTGCCGCGCGCCCCTCTGCTTCAAAGTTGAGCCCAGCAATGATGGCCCACTCGATGGCATCCTGGCAGCCCTTGTCCACGAGAGCCCCCTGGTCACGAAGCGGTGCTCCGCTCTTGATGAGGGCCTCCGTCGCTAGAAGTGAGCTCTGCATCGGCAGAGGCAGCGGGAAGAGATCACGACGACGCGCTGCCCGCGGATCTGGCTGCGCCGAACCCACACGACGGAGGTGCGACCCGAAAGCACCTGGGTCTGCACGGCACACGTTGACAACGCTGAGCGCATACTCCAGCTTCGTGACTTGGCACCTGGTCAACTATTTGACTTGGCGCGCTGCAAGATGGTCATCAGCCGCGCCTTGTACGCACTCTTCGTCTCCTGGGGCCCTCGGGCGTTCGCTGCCCTCAGCTCCTTGAACGTGGGGATCTGGGGGGCGCCCTCGTTCAGCCGCACCTCTCTCGACTGGCTGCCCGTCGCGCCCGCTGCTGCCCGAGGAATCGACGGGCTGCGGCTGATGCTCTTCGCTCTGAGGCTCGCCTGAGGACGCCCGTTGCCCACAGCAGCCGCTAGCATCTGTCTGACTGGATTGGGCCCAGCCTCGCGACCGCTCTTCGCAATCATGTCCAGGGACGCTGGGCTCCCTCCAACAACAGTGTGGGGTGAGGGAGCCTGCGGGTGGCCTACAGGAGGAGACGCCCGCCCCGGCGACTCCTCCCGGCTGAGCCCCTAGAAACGCGGCTTCTTGGCGAGCAGCTTCTCGCGGAGCTCCTCGCGCTTCAACTCCGCGTGGGCCACCCGCCGCGCTGCCACCTCCTCGTCGCGAGAGGCGGCGCTGGGCTGAGCGTCGGTAGGGATGAGGGCCATCCACTTCGCGGTGTGCCAGTCGCCGTCCTTGATCGCCGTGGTGCGTGCCTTGAACTCCTGCATCGCGACATCGAGCGCCTTGACCGTGGACCCCGACAAGCCCATGTCGAGGATGGTCGCGAAGGTACGCAGCAGCCTCACCTCGTGCGCCCCCAGACTCCTCGGCGGGTGCTCGACGAAGAACACCGTGTCCAGGAAGGCCCTGCAGCAGGGAGGAAGCTCGCCGCCAGGGGCACCCGCTGGGAACTGCTTGACGAGTGCCTCGAGCCCCGATTTCAAGAGGCGGCCTGGCTTGCGCCTCGCGTAATCGATGAAGTGGTCGTGCTTCACTCGGCCCTCGCTGCGATCTCCAAGTACATCGTCGTCCGACTCCCTGCTTGCTCCTGACTCGTCGTCGTCGCGCGGCGGGCTCCCACGGCGCCCACGACCACCACCGAGCCTCGCAAGCAGCTCGCGCTCGAAGCTCGATCGAGTGCCCATGGCTCGAGCGCCCTCGGCCTAGGCCCCCGACCTTCTCGATGGCCCGCGAGGCGAGCACCTCCTGCGCGGGCCTGTGGGCACTGTCGTGGCGGCGGCCCTGCGCAGCCACCGCGCGTTCCTGCAGCAGCTCCTGGGTCCGCTCCCCCGCGACGTCGGTCCCTTCCAGCTGGCGCATGGCCTCGTCGAGAGCATCGATGCCGCCACCAGCGCTGCCGCGGCCACGGCTCCTCGCCCGCCGAGGCAGCGCCTCGCGCCGAGCGGGCGGCGCGCGGCCGCGGGGCTCGCCGCGCGCCTCTGCCCCGGCGCGGGCGCCAGCCCGCCCGCCCCCGCGCGGCTGGCCAGCATCGCCCGGCCTCCCGCCAGCGAGGGGGGCGCGTGCCTTCCGAGGGGCAGGGGCCAAGGCGTCGCCACGGGCCCCCTCGCCAAGAGCCGGGCGCCGCCGCGGCTCTGGCAGAGGGGGCGTGGCCCGAGGCGGCCCCCGCCGAGGGGGCGAGCGCGGGGCCTCCTCGACGGCGCGCCAGGCACCCGCGAGCTCCTCGGGCCCTGGGTCGAGGTGCTCGCCGTCGTCCTCGTCCTCGTCGTCCAGGCCCTCGGGCTCGGGCACAGCAGCCTCCTCGCCTCGATTGCCTTCTGCATCTCCATCGGCGTGCTGAGCCATAGCGATGCGAGCCCGCTCGAGGGCCCCGTCGCTGCCCCACTGCATGCAGAGCGCGCTCGCCTCGTCCTCGGTCACCTCGCGCACCAAGTTGACGTGCTCGAGAGCATAGCCGTCTGGGCCGACGACGCGGCACTCCCGCGCAGGCACGGCGCAGATGTGCAGCAGCGTATCGGCCCCCCGAGCGCTCGCCTCGCCGACCGCCGAGGCGTACCACTCGAAGTAAGCGTCCGACGCGGCGATGCGCTGAAACTCCACCAGCACGCCGCCGCCAGTGGGCCGCCAGGCGCGCTCGACGCAGACGAGCTCGGACCCCTGGCTGGCCGCTGGCCCATGAGTCGTCCAGCACGCCCACCTGCAGCAACGTGCCCGGCCGCAACGCCACCCGCTCCAGGGCGTCGGAGTCGAGCCCCGAGTTGATCCAGAGCCCGGCCATCTCAGGCCCCGCCGCCGCCAGCCATCATGGCGCGCAGGCTGCCCCTCCACGGGAGAGCCCGCGGCGGCGCGGGCGGCTGCGGCCCGCTGCGCAGCCCACTGGGCGCGCTGGCGAACACCGGCGCGCCCTCTGAACCAAGCAAACTGCGGATGACCCCCTTGGGGTCGGCTGCGCCGAACGTTTCACGGGAGCCTCTCAGTATAAGCTACTCGGGGAGATGCCATATATGTGTATGTATGTATGCATGTGTACAGGTATACATATATGTGTATATGTGACGAGCTAGGGGTGCGCGCTACCAAAGCGCCGAAGCCTCGTGAGTCACAGTGGAAGCGCGCTCCCAAGGCCACCATCCTATACCCTATATAAGAAGTTACAGACGCGCGCAGCGAGCCAGCCGGCCAGCCAGCAAACAGCCCGAACCAACCACAACCCTAACACTTAACATGCAAGCCAGATGCGCCGCGTTGCCAGCCCACCCACCGACAAGCAGACAAACAAACCGACCGACCAACCGTCACCACGCACGCGTTCAGAGGGGGGGGGCAGCGGCAGAAGGCGAAGCCCTTCAAATAAGAAGACGAGGGGGCAACGAAAATAGCCAGAGATGCATGAACTTTCGGAGGCTCTCGCAGACCTCTCGGATCGGCGCTGTACGCCCCCCTAGGGCGCTTTCCGCTTGCGCGCCCCCGCGCGCCAAGAAGGGGGGTCCGGCTGCGATCCGAGAGAGCTGATCTCCATCCCCTTCGTCGGGGGAATGAAGGGGCCTCAGGACACACAAATAAATACACAGTAGTAAAACTATTCCCCATAGTTTCCCATATGTTCCAGGTTTTTGTCTTCCCCGCCACCTCCCATAGTTTCCCGTATTTTCTCTGGAATCGACGCTTAATTGTGTCTGTGTGTTTTTCCCTCCTGAGAGAAGTGGGGATTAGCTCAGGCGGGGCGACGCCACGGGGGGTGGGGGGGCTCTAGAGAAGTCGCCCCTTCCTCAAGGAAGCGCTACTCTTCCGCGAGGAACTGGGCCCACAGCGTTCCACAGCCCCCCAAATACTTTTTGGTCTGCGGGTCGAGGGCGGGCCTCGTCCGGTTAAGAGCTAGGCGGGGCGCGCAAGGCACTAATTGGGGAGACAGGGCGCGGGCGGGCGGGGCCTCGGGCGGCCGGAGGGCGCGACAGCCCCCCACACACGACCCCGAACGTCCAAAACACCTCATCCAGCTTTGGTCATGGAACCTCGATGTCCAAAAGGATCTGGCGACCACCCCTCGCGGTGACCCCCTCCGGCACTGCCCGATCGAAAGGGGTGGGCCATTGAGCTGAGATCGGCGATGCGTCCGAGTAGTCAATCGGGCGGACCGCCCCGACCGCTTCGGCCATGAGGCGAGCGACCACGGTGCACAGGAACAGCGGTGCCTCTTCCCCTTCCACCGCGATGGCCTCGGCGACGAAGAGGACCCAATCGGCCTTGCACGCAGCGCAGGCAGGGAGGCCCCGCGCGGGATTTCGCACGCGAGCACTGATGGCGGTCTTGTCGGCGCCGAAAGCGCCAGCAGGCAAACCGCCAATCAACTCGACGATTTTCTCGCGAGGCAGCGCCGTGCTCGCTTGGCGCGCGTTGGGGCGCGTCGCGCACGAGCTAATCGGCTTCCCTCGCGGGCGCAGGCAAGAGCCAGCATGCGGCACTTCGCGGGCATGCTGCAGATTGGGGGCCGGCATACGGCGCGCGCACGCAGGCATATTGCCGCATTCGCAGGCGCACTGCGCCATGGGGAAGGGCCGGCATACGGCAAGTCGCAGGCGTACTGCAGACTGGGGGGGGGCCGGCATACGGCGCGCGCGCGCAGGCACCTTGCCGCATTCGCAGGCATACTTCGCAGTGGGGAGGGGCCAGCATACGGCACGTCGCAGGCATACTGCAGACATAGGGGGCCGGCATACGGCACGCGCGCACAGGTATGTTGCCGCACTCGCAGGCACACTGCGCCACGGGGAAAGTCCGGCACGCGGCCCGTCGCAGGCATGCTGCAGACTGGGGGGGGGGGGGGCGGCATGCGGCACGCACGCGCGCAGGCAGACTGCCGCATTCGCAGGCATATTCCTGCCGACGCGACGCGCGACGGCAAGGAGGGAGGGGGTGGCCGACATGGCACCCGCGCGCACCTCGTGCGCCGCGACAAAGACACAGAAGAGAATCCTGACTTTTCGAGCCCGGCAAACGACGAGGGAATCATCACCTGCGCGGGAAATCCTTACCTTTCGAGCCCGGCAAAACGACGAGGGAACCATCGCCTGCGGCGGGGGGGGAGGAGGAGGGAGGAACCTGCGAACAGCGGAGGCACAGCGCGCGCGCAGGGAGGAAGAGGGGGAATCGGAACCTGCGCGGGAGAAGGAGGCGGAGCGACGCCGAGAGGGCCGCCAGCGCGCGCGCGGAATCAATTAGCCAAGGCAGCAAGGCACGCGGCGCGTCGGCGAACGGCGCGTCGCGGCACGGAGGCCCGCGCGCGCGGCGTGCGACCCGCGCCCAACTCCCGAGCGCGGGGCGCTAGACCTTTCTTTCCTGTTGCCCCGAAAACGCATCCCCGAATGCGGGGCGGCCAGGCGAATCCCGAATCGCGAAAGCCTGCGCCGCGGAAGCGCCCGCGGGCGCGCAGGAGGGGGATTCGCCTCAGCCGCCGCTAGCCGCCCCGCAGCATCGGGCGAGCAAGAATAATAGCATGGCAAGGGCCGAACGCACCGCCGCGACTTCTCCCCGCGCCCAAGAGCTGCCCAGGGCGCCCATATGAACGCGAACGGGGAAAGCGAGGATGGGGCGGGCGCGGGGGAAGGAACGGCGCGCGCGGGAACCGAGAAGATGAGAGAATGAAGCAGGGGCGAAATCGCAGTGAAAAAGGGCAACGCGTCGATAATGGCAGGCGACCGCAGATGACCCCCCCCCGACGTCGCAGGAGGGAAGCAGGAGAAGGCTCTGGAGGTGGAAGACAGATGTCAACGTCGAGGCCCGACGCTCTCTCACTGAATTCTTCGACCGGCGCCTGCATGGCTCTGGGTCGAAGCGAGCCCGGAATGATTGCTGGGGCTTCTCGCGACGGCCCTGGCGGCAGGCCCGCCAGTGGCGCCGCGCGATTTGCGCGTAGCCCATTGCGCCGCGCATCGCGCCGCGTTTCTTCTGCCCCCGCCCGCGCATT